CCTCAAGGCTTTGCATTCAGCAGCTACTTAGCTAACATCTCGTCGAACATGCTCACAATAATTTTGCCACCAATACTTGAGTGGCGTGTATTCGAGGGAAAAAAATTTTTTTCCTACAAATTGCAATATATACGGATTTACCTGACTTTAATCATTGGATTAACCATTATGGCCTGCAGTTTTTATGTCATGCCAATCAAGGAACAAATTAGTATCGATGCCTTTGAGTTACTTTATATTTTTCGAGAAGAGGATATCCACTTTCAATCAAAATTTGTAATTTTTTTGGAATAAATTAATTTCAACATATTCAACTTTTACTATATAAAATCTGTGTTCATTTCCCAATATTTGGCAGTTGCTTTACCTTGAGTTAGCTGGCAAAGCAGTACCGCATTAATATTATACAAGTCATTTATAATGCAGTCAAAGATTGCAATAAAAACCTAGTTAATAGACTTTCGCTTTCAAACAGCTAAAGAAAGATTAGTTGCTACCAAAGCGCTCGTAGGAAATCGACTGTTTTTAAGGATGATGAACAAGTGTAGAAATATAAAGAAGATTTAATTGGTGACAAAAAACTTATTGGCCGGCAAGGCTAGAAGAAAATCCACAGAATGATATTTGATTACCGTCGATTGAGCATTCGAGCGAACTCAGTATAGCAAGCACTTCTTATTGACAAAAAAATTGCTTATGAAAAAGCTGTGCGCAACATGGGAGCCGCCTTTGTAACAATAAAGCGAGATTTTCGGCGATCCATACCCATATCCATAGATAATTCATAGCTATGACTCCACCACTTCACACCTAAGGTGAAGGGGCAGGATAAACAGTGGACTGGAAGGAAAAAGAAGAGGTTCGAGTAAAGATCTAGATAACTTAATCTTAAGGTGTCAAAAGCCAACGGTTCACATTGTACGAACTTATTGCTGCGATTAAATGATGAAAACGTAAATAAAATAAATAAAATATCAACCTTGAAGAACGCCAAGTGAGGATCGAACTTCCCTAAGAGCCAACAACTGAGCCAAGCGGTCATGTTTTTCAAAAATCCTAGATGATATAGTTCATAAATTATTCCCAGTCCGTCTGCTGCTTTATCTTCTTCGCAATCTTCTATTATGTCTGCAGACAAATTTGATCGTGAGGATTACAAGGTAAAGTTGCGATAGAACGAACATGCGTATTTAAAAAAAAAATGTGAGAATTTTACCTACGACTACACAAACTCAAAAGAAGCAAAGTGAAATGACGGGACTCTAACCACGACGTTCTATCACAATAAATCGCTTAGCATTTATTTTAAAAACCAAAAATATTGAAATTTATGTGACTTACATTTTTTTTTCTTTTTAAAAGCAATTTTCGAATATAAATGGAAAGTCCGACTACTTGAACAAGAAGGTATTAGAATAAAAATAAATTATCACGCAACGAGATTGAAAACAGCGACCATCGGATACCATGCGACGCATAGCTTTGGCAAAATAAATCTTGCATGTCATGTGACCACAGAAATGCTGCGATTAAATTCCTGTGTACGTTGAACGCAAAAATAAATGGTTAGACCTTAGACAGAAAGGCAGGCAGACAATAATTTTCAGAAATTTCGGAAAATAATTTTGAAACGATCGTTATAGTAGACACTATGATCTATTTTAAGTCATTCCGAATGTTGCATACATCTATGGACCTATGCGGATATTTAATTGTGGTCAATAGATTAAACACAAGAGAGTAAGGTAGACAGACGGACAGACACGCGAAAATCAGATTGGAAAGTAATTCTAAATCAGTCGGCATAATGAAAGGTGAGCTTATCTCATATTCTTCTGGGCATAAAATACGCCGATACAAAAACTTAACATATCCTCTACAATATATTGTGTAATGGATGATAAGTCCAGTATTTAAGCAGGGAAAACCTCAACAAAAATGGAGTTAAAATAAACAAGTGCAAATAAAAGGGAAATTTTAATAAGACGCAATATCAATCTTTCGATTTCTGATATTTTAATAATAAAAATTTTAATCGCAGAAGCGCATGTTGACATTGCAGACGTGTCCTTTGGAAAGTTTAGGTCGATTCAAAATCCTTTTGCTAATTTTTAGGCTTTTCTCGCTAACGAGAGAACGTTTACCCCAAATACTACACAGTTGTGCACACGGACAGATGGACAGGCGGACATATTTAGGTGCATTCAACGGTTGCAATTGGCAAAGAATTTGTATACTTTATGGGGCTTTTGAAGCTTGTTTCTGCGTGTTATAAAGGTATTGAAAAAATAATTAAATTTTGATACATTATAATATTGAATGGGCGTGGCCAATTTTTTCCATTTTTGTGCACAGATGCTACAGCATAGCCCATAGAAAATGCTTTCAAATGTTTTTACATTTATTTGCTACACTTTATGAGTAATAAGCAAAAAAGCAATGAGCAATTTTTCATTCCCTTTGACAAACAGAGGCGTTCTCAACGTACGTATGCCTGTGAGCGTGTCCTTTGACCGATTTGGCCCATTTGCAATACCAACCTGCATGCAAGAACCTTCAATGTTTCTGTCAAATTACAAGTCACTGCTTTATTTTTGCGGCCAGGAGACACTACACAGATGGACAGACGGACATGCTTAAATCGAGTCAGAATTTGATGGTGATCAAGAATATATACACTTTGCAAAGTCTCTGATGCTTACTTTTGGGCGTTGCAAACGTTTTGACAAAATGAATATAATCCGTGGAACATCGTATTTTATAAAAAAAGTCTCTCCACAAAAATCCCTGAGCATTATTATTGGATGTGTATCGGACTATTTGTACCACCTCTTATATAATTTGGCTTAAAAATAAACTTTACCAAATTTGATCAAAAATATATGTTTACTTGGAGACAAAATGTTGCTTTTGGTTTTTTCTTAGTTGTATTAGTGTTTAGAAGTGGTGTAGGGCAGCCCTTACCAGGCTATAATCTTCCTATTTCCCTTTCATGCCTGCGTGTCAGCTGTTTAATTGTCATCTATTTGCCACCCAAATTTTAAGTAAAGCCTTTCAAAATATTTGCGGTTAATTTTAAATCGATTTTTTAAATCGACCTTTGGATGGAATTAAGCTTTTTTTTTTATTTGCGATTTGCTTAGCTATTGCAAGACTTTTCCGTCCTAGTTTTTGCCAGCCTGAGAATTTTCACTTCATATCTACGGTATCGGTCAATTTGACAGTTTTTTTTTTGAAATAAAAATTCAGCATAAGAAAGTCCGTACCTGAAGATGTTATAAATTGGTTTTTAACGATACAATGCAGTCAATGTATATTGCTCCTATTTTTCTTCTTTCGCGCACAGAGCCGAACAATTTCGGATAACGCCAGCGCTTTTTTCCTATTTTTTATAACTTTCGACTCTGTGAATATTTATTTATTTATTTTACGCATATTTTATGAATTAATTTACGAAATACGATTTGAAAGTCATCGGGTCACTAGATCATTTGCGCCTACAGGTATTAAATAGTAAAGGTAGCCTAGTTAAGTTAAAAAGATAAGCAAATAATTACTGGGGTATAGAAAAAAAATACTAACTGGACAAATCCAGGTCATAAATTAAGTAAGATCTAGGTATCAAGAGTGAGAGAAAGGCGAATTGTGAGAATTAGATCTATTCTAGAACAGTCAAGAACCCTCTCATGCGTTTGATTAGTTTCTGATAAAGGACATAATGGAAAGATATGCCCAACAGAAAGGGAGCCATTACAAGAAACACATTTGAGAGTTTCACTTCGTTCAAAATAATGTTCAGTGTTGAATAGCCTGACTCACAGAGATTATTGTAGTCTGGCCTGCCAAAAGAAGGGCTGATTGATTGTAGAGACATCTCGGAATGATTCCAGTAACCAAAATGCATAGCGACTATAATGAGCCAACAGGATGAAGGGATCGGCTGAGGAAGACAGGGCGGTTCAAATTCCGTGAATGTATTTCTGAAAAACTACTACCCAAATATTCGCCAGAATCACTTGCACGTTGAGTGCAAAAATTGTCCCGATCAGTTTGCTAACATGTCCATAATCACTTTTAGACTGAACATGAAAGTGATCGTAGTGATCATCTGGGTCACAGGCTTTTGAAAATATCTTTATCCATATGAGTAGCGGAGTAGGCAATAATCGCAACTACCAACTCAGTTTACGCGGCTTCAAATCTTAGTACAGTAGACTTTATTTTGGTCGTAGATATAGTTAGTGGTCAGTCGGTAAAGGCATAACACTTATCACACATCCACTACGCTGCGGTTATCACCTGCCTATTTTTTTCATTTTTGCTTCTTCCTCACTTGTTTCTGACCGTTACCGTTTTACACGAATAACGGACACTCCCTGAATAATTGATCATATCAAAAATTGTTTGTCCAGTCAGAGTCAGAGTTCTCAGATATCGGTTTTGAAAGCAATTTTGTTCTGCTTGCTGTACACACGCCCCATGGAAGGTAGTGAATTTATAGCAAAAAAAAAAAAAAAATGTCTTATAAGTTACTAACAAGTAGCACTTGTTAATACATAAAAGACGACTAGAGATACATATAGACCTATTTTTAAATATATATGTATTTATATATATATGTGTTTATATATATATATGTATTTAAAAATTTCATCAAAGCGTCCAATTTCAATTTAGTAAATTACGTACGAATTATAAAATTCCGCATAAAAACATTTTTTTTACATTATGTAATGCTCGTTAATACTGGATAATAAAAGTAATTGCGTATATAATTTCATTATTATTTCTTATTGATTAATAGACGCAATTCATTATTACTAATATTTATTTATTTATTTTTTAGATAAAACACAATTGGAAAATAATATAAATACATTTTCTGAAAATGCAGTTACAGGAGTACGATCACATACACGCACACATCTATACCTGCGTATATATGGGGATGTAAATATCATGGTTATGTGTTAAAATAGCGTATTTATGTACATACATACAATTTTATAAATTCATAATACAAATATATTTTCTGTGGGTGTGGAAGTAGTACATCTCACTCGAAATGCTTAAATTTTAAAGCTGCTAACCTTCAATTTTTGTTATTGCTAAGCAATTTGTATCGAATTCCAAATATCTTCAATATCATCTTCTTCTTCATCAATTATTGAAGCATTGGATAATTGCCTTGTTTGCGAATTACGATGTCAGTCATTGTACATGCCATCTACTAAAAAATCCATGCGTCGGTAGTGACGTGTAGACCAACAATCGCGAAAACGACGATAGGTAGTGATAACTATGCCCATGGCTAAAGGGATTATAAAAATCATACTGACTATAGGTAAAATGTAATCGCTTCCCCGTTGAAAACTATTGCCGCTGAATTCTTGTGATGGTTCAGCATTTGGAGGTTCGGGTATAGGCAATTTGTTGGATGTTGGGAGAGATGGATCTTTTAGTTCTACATGATTTTCATCTAAACCGGGAAAATCCTCAACACCATAAAGTACTGAAGGTTTTTTTGGTTTCGGTGTCGTAGTAGTAGTAGTAGTTGTTGTTGTTGTAGTGGTGGTAGTAGGCGTACTGGTAGTTGTTGTTGTTGATAAAGTTGTTGTGGTATTGTTAGTGGACTTTGGGGCGATGGTTACATTTGCAATAGTAGAGGAGCTACTATCAGTTGTGTCACTCGTTTGCCCCTTTTTTTTAGTGTCATTCTTCACTGTATTAGAATTATTTACCAATATTCCGATCACTTCGGAAGCCGAACTTTTATTTTTTGGAGAGACAATGTTTGTTTTGACCGCAACTGGGGACGTCTTTCCTTCGTTTGCCTGTAAACTTTCTTGTTTTTCATGTTGTGTTTTGTTTTCGGATGGATTCACGCTAACATTTATGGATACGTTTTCGGCTACCTGTTTCAGCACATGATCCGGCTTTTTGACTGCATTTCCAAATGTGGTAGTGCCAGTGCTCTCTGTCTTAGGCAATTGGATTTTATTTTTAGCAATTCCAGTTTCTTTTATTCTCTTTTCCAAGGATTTGTTATCGGTTTGCGTAGTCTTACGTACCTTGGGTATTTTCGAAGCACTCGGTATTTCTTCTAAATGCTGCGTAATATCTTCAATTTTATTTGCCAAAGTATGATTTAATTCAACTCCATTTTTGACGGTATCACTATTGTTATCATTACTATTTGTGTTTGTATGCTGGGATTGAACAACCATCGCCAACACTAAAAAACCAATGAAGGCATTTACTTGGATCTTCGAATCTGTTCTCATTATTTGCTTGTTTCTAAGTAAAATTATTCTTAAATGTTTTATTAGCACTTGTTTGGCATTATATTTATGAGAATTTTGTTAACACGTTCTTACAACATTTCTCTAAAAAGGACCTTAGTTTCTAACAAAGAAAATCATCTGACGTTGGCAATTATTGTGTAAATTGCGCTGTTGTTTCTCACTTTTTTTATTATTAGTTTTTGTTTGCATTCGGGATGGAAATGTTTCGAAAACACAATTATCTTAACAAATGGCAATACCGTAATATCTCATTATGCGGTCACGTCGCAATAATTTACCACATTATTACAGTGACTTCCTTTTTTTTGTTTCTACCTTTTTGAAATGTTAAATGGCCTAGAGGCTTTCTATAAGCTCTTCAAAGCACTTTTGAAAAAAAAGCAAAGAGAGGTTTTTAGAGTAGTTTCCATTTATTCACGTGGTTTTACCCTCTAAAACAATAATTTGGAACATGATATCGTAATGTAAGTAAATACCTGAAAATTGATCGTACAGTATCAGTTGAACATATGGCTTTCTTTCTTTAGTAAATCAAAATCACGTAATTTAAAGAAGTGACCGTATGATTAGAACATTAATAAGGCGAAAGATTTCTTTGAAAAGAGAATTTAATAAAATGAAAGAAATCATTTTCCTATAGAGACAGAACTATATATAATATACTAAAATTTCAATTTACTTTGTTTTTAATAAAAGTGGAAAAGAACATTTCAAAATCATATTGTGCTTGAAATATTAACCATATGATTTTGTTTTGTTGTTGAATGAAGATGAACTTTGGTATTCCTTTATTATCTGAAGATGTCTACTTTCTTGTGCAGAATTTTTTTAGCCTGAAATCAAACGGGCGGGATAAGCATAAGTGTTAAATAACCTTTGACAATTTGGTCTGTTTCATATGAGAAAAACTTTTACATTGTAACGATTTGCAAAATTTACGCCTAACGGATTTCAATAAAAATAGATATACCGCATCTAGGAATAGGAAAATGGGTGTATCCCAAAAACAGGTGACATATATGCAGGCTGCATTACATCATTAACAACCAATATATGGTATTCTTTTCAGGCGAGAACGCTGATGTTTGTATTTTGTAAATATAAGGTAAATTGAGGTAAGTAAAATATAAACTCCACTCCTTTTCCACGTTAACTTAAATTATATTAGATAAATGTGATGTCGAATTTACTTTCACCAATAAATCACCACAAAAGGAACCGTGAAAATAACCTACAATTAGGTACGTAGATGTAAACGAATATTCTTCCTAAAATTGCAGACTGAAAATTTTATAAAATTTTAAAGTTGCTAAGTAAATTCTTCGCAAAAAGTTTTTAAAACATACCTATAGAATTTTCTATTAAGGATGCCCTTTGTTAAGATTTTGTCTTCAATAAACATCTAAAAATGTTATGCACACGCATGTAATAACTAATTACCACTATTAATTCTCGTGATTTAACTGGAGTTTTATTAATATTTTTATTGTTAGAGATAGCCATAAAAAAATGTAAAATTTTTTCGTCTCGTTTAGAATATATTTAAGGAAATGTAGCAGACAAAGACATTTAATTATATACTGAATAGACAAATGAAAAGAAGACGATTTGCTTCAACTTGTCCTTTAGTTATTTAAATATATTGGCAACGAGGCAAGCCATACTGAGTTAAACGTTTTTGAATCTAGTTTTAAAATTCGGACACAGCTTTTCATTCCTTTCTCGAAAATCAGACAATGTCCGCGACCTTAAAAAAATTTCTTTCTTAAACAAAAATGTTATGGAAAATTGAAAGTTTATTTAAAAACTATATTGTTTTTATAGGCTGCACCACTTGTCGTACAAGAGGAAATTGTGCAGTTTGTGCAGTTGTATGCAACACTCCGAGGAACTTGAGGTAGACCACCTTTTATAAGTAAATCTAGAGTTGTCTGTCCGTTTCTCCCTCGTTGTATCGTTGGACTCAACCTACAGATCACAGTTTTTCAGATATTTTGATAAAATATGGTACGCCGATATGTTTCGGCCTAAGGATGAACGTTATTGGTTTGGGTTGGACAACTGTTTCGATTGTTATATGCATAACTGTAGGGTCATGTCACACAGAGTCGTGACCCATTATAGTATTTTCACTTGTTTTCTTCTCTTTGTGATGACAAATTGATGGTTTTGTGGATGGATGGGATTGATGATTGATGATACACAAGTTATTAACTAACGGTCTTAATCAGAAGCTTCAAAATTTCAAGTAAGCTTTCATATTTTTTGTTCTAAATACGGTTCTCTTTGTTCTTTTAGTAGTATGGAAAAGGGACGATTAAATCAATAATTCGGTCAAAAATATTGTAAAATGCAAAATAATACGACATTTGGCGACCAATCTTTGGCCTATTTGAATTTTTCAAAAAAAAAAAACGTAAATCGATTACGAGCCTTAAGCTTTATTCGAATGTGTGTTGACGATAAACTGTACGGGAGTCGGCAAAGACTTGCTTAATTTCACGAGTAATTTTTAACAGAGTGACAAAATCTTGCCTTTTTTTTATATGATGCCTAAAATATGCTTACTTGTCGATTTTTTAAGCGCTATGTTGTCGGTTGCCATATCTTTTTACCTTAGATTTCCAGTTCTTTTCAGTTGTTTCATTAATATTGCAAAATCCTCGTATCATCTTGATTATTACGTGGAGTCGAATGCTTTGGTTAATTTTAGAAAAAACTGAATTATCTTTTGTGTGAGTGTAATGAAGATTTAGTTAGACAAGTATTTGTAAATGTCGTGGAAAGAGTAACTTAAAAATAGAGGATTTGAACTGGAATATGTCCATAACACGTTTAACTCATGACAAGTGAAACAAATACGTTATATATAAAAATCATGCACAAAAACACCGATTAACTACCCCCATACCAGTCTAGGATTATTCGTATACATATATGACTTTTCAAATAAGTCGGTACATGGGAAGTGATCGAAAAAGTGGTCCGATCCTGGACGTCTTCAATAGCGTCCTGCCATGGACGAGAAGACGTCAACGTAACAAATTTTATCAAAATATTTCAAAAGACGGGTTTGGATTGATTCAGAAAGTGATTTTCAATCATTCGATTGGTATAGTAAAAGGTGAATATATCTCCAGTCCTTCTGATTGTTGCCTATATCCACGCAAACTTAATATGCCTCTATACCACAAGTAGTGTAAGGTAAAGTTATGAAAATAATTAGAATAGAATCTTCTCATTTTGTAATATTGGTTGGGCGTGGCCGATTTTTTCATTATTATATAGATAGTGTAGAGTTATCCGTAGAATATACTTCGCAAAAAACCGAATATTTTTGTTTTTAAAAACAATAACATTTTGATTTTTACGTTACACTCTGTGTGTGAGTGTCGCTGCACCAATACCATTCTTCGGAGAGAAACTTCCTATGCTCTTGCATTAGAAGCTTCTCTGTCATTGCTGCAAACATTTTGACGAAGTGAATATAATCCTAGTCTTTGGTGGTGGATGCAAAAAGTAACATAACGGGGAGTCAAAATTTTTGTCTTCTTCCATAGTACCACGTAAACTAATTAATGGCTTAGATAGACAAATTAATGATTACCCATGCTTGGATGTAAAGATTTTAATTTTTATTTTTATTGGTATTTAATTTTTTTCATGTTTTCCTTGTCTTCTTTATAGGTACCATGCAGTTTATCGAGCCAACCCATTACACCGAAATTGTAATGAAACCTGCGAGGTAGATTAAGGAAAATTTTTTCATGTCCATGATTTACTGCATTTTCACTCTTCCTTTCTATTTAATACTCACTTGGCATGATGCAAATCGTGGAAACGAACTGAATTGGGTGAAAATGGAAAACTATAGCCTGTATGATCGGTCATCGAATTTAAAATGGCAAGAACTGCAAAAAACCAGACATTGAGAATATGAGGTCTTATCAAAATCGTTAATACACCAATAGGTCCCATATTGCTGCATATATGTTCAATTGGATGACAATAAAGTGTAATGATAGCTACCGGCGCTGTCCATTCGTGATGTTGCTTATGGATATACTTGTAGATGGAACGATGATGTAACGCTCGATGAACATAATAAAAACAAGCCTCCTCCAATGCCACCATTAGAGACATATCAATGAGAAATCTTCTCATAGAAGGTAATATGTGTACACAGGGAAAACTTATGTACTTAACCAATACAAAATAATTGAAAAATAGCATGGCAGGAGTAATGATCAATTGATTGAAAAGAACTTGCTTTGTTGCCTGCAATTAGTTAATAATTGTAAATCTTTTATCTATTAAAACCGTTATAATTGTACCTTCCATAATCTATTTTTATCGACTGGTTCATTCACGCCAACTTGTATTTTATATTTTCGTAAGAAATGTGGCTTATTCGTTATGTCCATGAGGGTAAAAATGCCAGCATATAACCAAAAACTGAACAATAATAAAATAAATGGCACTACTATCCATATGGTAACCGAGTCGTCACCTAAGGAAATTGCAAAAGAAAATTATAGCATTTAAAGTCTTCATTAAATTTTCTTTCGATGTATTTGTACCGACGCTATTTAAAAATGTAATCCATTTATTTTGCAATAATTCGCCACATCGATACCAATTCGTAGATATTTTATTAATTAGCGTTGACGTTATCATATTGTATTGAGCTTTTAAACTGACTCGAAACAAATGGTTCGCTCTTATTACTTTCTTGCATGGCAATTATTAAATTAAACAAGTTCTTATCTCCCGATTGCGAATACACCCAATTCTAGTTTTGCGATAAACTCGGTATGGGAAAACAAATAAAAAGTGTAAATAAAATTGAAAGTGGATTAAAAAGGGGCGATTAATGAAAGTAATCCTGTTTGAAAATTAAAAAAAAAAAAAAACAAAATAATTTTTTAATTTAATTTTTAAATTGAAATGATTGCAATCATGTAAAGGAACGGACCCAGTTCACTTCTCCGGATCGTATAAAAATCGAATGAAAATCATGCAAAAAGCACCATTTAATGATGTAATCGAATGAAAATTGAAATTCCCGCTTATGTTTGTGTATAATTTATTAATTCTGTGGATTATTATTAAGTGTACCAACCAAGTGTATTATAAAAAATGAAAGAAAAACCTTTATTTTATAGAGCGGACTTTGTTATCTCAGTCATATATCGATATAAAAAAAAAAAAAAAAACACAACTAAGAAAATTATATTCGATCGTAACCGAATCTTTTAAACCCAGTGTCGTTGTCCTAAAAATTATAAAAAAAAGAAGTAGAAGAGAGCTAAATATTTTTATATTCTAAAATGGGGCGGGTAGGCATGATTGAGTTTTTCTATTTTCAGAATGAAAGTGGAAATTCGTATAGTTAATACGTTCTAGTTTATGAATAACGAGCAAAAAACACAAAAGGCAAAGTGGTCTTAATTTTTGTCGCACAGGCGCATGAACGTCCTGTGCGTGTGTCTTGTAAAGTTTGGATCGTTTTCAAAGCCGTTTGCAAACGTGTAGGCGATATCTTCATTTTTGCGAACGGAAGAAAGTTTACCACAGATACTACGCAGTTGGGCGGAGGGACAGATGCTTAGATGCATTCCGAATTAGAAATTGCCAAAAAAATGTATATACTTTGTGGGGTCTTTGAAGCCTGCTTCTGCGTGTTACAATGATTTTGATAGAAAAAATTAAGTTTCAATACGCTATAATATTGGGTAGAGCGGGTAATATTTTCCCATTTTCGTAAAGGTGTTGCAGCATCACTCACAATTTTTGTAGCTTTATGTGCTATAGTTTATAGGAAATGACGAAAAAGCCAATTTTGTATTCATTATGAAAAACAGAGATGCTCCCGGTTCACGTGATGGGGTTGGCCCATTTTCAATACCAACCTGCATGCAAGAATTTCTAGTGTTTTTGCCAAAATTTAACACGATAGCTTCATTTTGTCTCTAAAACTTCCTTCTGGGCATTGCGAATGTTTTGACAAGATGAATATACCCATTATCATGATGGGTATAAATGAAAATGTTTAAAAAGATTAAATTAATATTTTATTGTTTATGGGTGTTCAGAGGGTAAAGAATATAAAAATGCATGAGCTAGCAAACGATTTATTGAACGAATAATGAATAATTTTACAAATGCAAAACTAAAAAATCATTCTCTTAAGCTAACTAAACCACTCACTTGCCAAATCAAGTAACTCTAAAAATGAAAGGTAGTAAAAAGTGATGAAATGGTTTATTTAATATTTTTAGTGTTTTAATTACATTTTTATTGCGAACTACATTAGAGTATGAAATAAATTATTTATTATTCTTTTTTATTTATTTTTTGTTATTAAAAGTTGGAAACCAGTTTTCCGCCTGAGTGACCGAGTAGGCAAAGAATCTTGATTAACAACGCAATGGCCGTGAGTTCAAATCTCAACTGCGGCACGGGGTTCCAATAAAACCGATAGCTTAAGATGCTCGTGCTCTTAGACTTAAGACTTAGAATTTACTTCTCTGCTCAATAAATTAGTTATAATGATAATAATAGAAATCAATCATGTGTTTTGAAATTAAAATTTGAAAAATGCAGAAAACGGACTTAATTAATTTGATAGGTGAGGCTTTCAATTGTAATCATTACACGATTCAATTAATATCAAATGAAATTTTCGAAAGAAGATAAAAAAAGAGCCAAAAGACTGCTTTGCGATAATTGTTTTTCTAAGGCATGGTTAAATGCTAAATAAATACTATATCTAGTAAGTAACCAATATCGCATATAAAATTAGAATTAAAGGCATTATTCCCGCTTTCCTATTGTACTGGAGGCTCCAAGCTTTAGAGTTCGTTACGTAGTAATTTATTCATTTTTTTTTTTTTGTTAAAAAACTCATTATTTGTTGAGCAATTGATTTGAGAGGAGCATTCCTCCGTTGAATCAATTCATTTTGAATACTCACTAGCCATTCAAGAAAAGAAAATGCATTCAAGACGGTTGAGTGATGGTTTAGTTAAAGCTCAAAAGCACAACAACTATGGGCGCACAACAATCAGCCAGCAAGTTTGAAGGCGGGCAATTAAGAGAAGCATTGAGGAGACGGAAAAGATTTACAGATGAATCGAGCGATTCGAAAGTGAAAAAATTGCATTTCATGCTACAAAATTTTGGAAACGAGATCAACATGAAACGGCGACGGCTTTTAATAATTGAAATGCAGCTTCAAAGACGGACGGTAAAAAGTGCACTGTTCTTAAACATTCTTTTTTATTTTCAATATGTATATATATGTATATGAAAAGTCGCAAGGTTTGTGGCGCAATTGCAAAAAGAACATCATTAAAAAACATATAAGCGAAGTATATTCGATCGAGTGTGACTGATATATTTCTAGCCACCAACTTTATCTTAAAAAGGCGGCTAAAAGAAAAATAAAATGAATGAATTTTTCTACTTTATAATGTTAGGATGTGGGTGCGGTTGATGCTTTCATTTTTCTAAAATACACACGCACATTTTCATCCCACATATCTGCTGTCGATCTATCTTTATCTTTTAAAAATAGATGTGCTCTCAGTTGTCCTGAAGGCGTTTCTCAGCATCGATTTAGCCCATTTTCAATACTAATCCACGTGAAGGAAATTACAGTATTTGAAGTCAACATCCCCATCCTTGCGACCAGTAGAATGTAAAAGCAAAGACTTTACGTAGGCGGACAAGGGTAAATCGATTCAAAATTTGAAGCTGATCAAATAGGTTCTCTCTGAAGCTTTCTTCTGAGCACTGAAAACCTTTTAACAAATTCAACGCATCCCAAATGCTTTAGTGATGGGTATAAAATTAATTGGGCTGAGCTTCGGCATAAACAATTTAGCATTTGGCGTAAGAAATTTTCTTTGAGACACAAAACTTTGGATCATTTTTTTATTCGACTAGTATTTCCATTGTTCTCAAGTATATGTTTAACGAAAAAAACGCAACAGGCGAGTAAATTGCGTCCAATTTTTACACGTCAACTCAATGAGTTGCGTTGAACAGACGGAAAATATTGTGTACGTATTTCCTAGCAACAACATATTCTTGGTACAGTCTACGTAAAACGTAGATTGTTTAGTTATTTCTGTTCCTTCTAACCTGAAAAATTAGAAGACGACGTGAACAGCTTTCAAGACTTTTTTTTTGTAAACAACTGTACCTCATTAAAAGTAATTGCATTTAGATGGAATTGAGTTTAAGTTACACAGATCTATTTAAGTCGTAATCTTGAACTTAAGTGTGTTTGTTCTTCAGCGGAAGTTAACTAAGATAAGTGGAAAGGAAGAAAATAACAAATTTGAAAGCTATCGCATTTCAATCTCTTTTATATTTAGCTCCAAAAATGTTGGCGTAGCCCGAGTTCATGAAAGTTTATGAAACAACTTTAAATCATTATAAAAAATAATTTGTATAATTTTCTTGCAAATATCGTGTAAACAACAACTAACGGATTTCGAAGGTTGACATGATAACTGTTAAGCAGTTGGCAGTTTAAAAAATGACTGAATACCTTTGCGATTACTTTGATATGAATAAAGATGACCTTGATTGCACCGCTCTTTTTTCTTCTTTTTTTTCTTTAGAGAATAAATTCAATGATATTATCTTATCTATGGATATTTATAAAGGATGCCTTTAAAAAAAAACCATATCTTCCGTATTGTCATAAGCAAACAATTACCGAAGTCAACATCTCTCCCGAAATCAAGACGGGAGAAGCAATAATAAATTTCAACTTTAGATATCCGATTATAGTTTATTTTAACCAATTGTGAGGATTTGTTTGGTGTTTAGTATTTTGTGTTTTCTAGGCTTAAAAAGCATCATAGTGTTAAAATTGTTACATGACTGCTTCCAACATTCTACAGTATATATAAATTATATTTTGAATATCACTTAAATGCTAAAAAATCTCTGCAAAAAAAAAGTTTAATGGAGAAAAGATAATATAATGCATTATGGAGAAGAAGGTGAAATAATAAATTCTTCTAACCGAATTTTTATATATGTAAATAAAAATAAAAAATAAAAAAAAAGACAAGTAGTTACAAAAATGTTGTAGTAGAGAAAAAAGGTTAACGACCTATCACAAATGCGTTCACTATCAAAAAAAAAAAAAGCAAAAACGAAACATTATGAAGAAAATTAAAAAAAAAGGAAATTCATATGAAACTTAAACGTCTTTGAAATGTTTTAATTAATCTTTTTGTTTTCGTCATTTTAAAATTGTTACTCTTCTATCACTTCATGGTGGAATCTGGAAAAGCTTCACGCGGTGGTACAAAACTTAACATCATTATATGACGAGCGTAAGATTTCGTGGCTCGAAATAGGGCATCGGTGCCGTGCAGACGATCCAGTACGCCTAATACACCGAAACAGTTATTAAATCTGAATGAAAAGAATTCAATTTATTTAATACATTATTATTAATAATTTAAATATATATTTTTATTAAATCTCACTTTAAATGGTGAAAGTCATGGGCCTCTGGACTTGGAAAGAAAGGTAGATGATAACCAGAATGTGCGTTCAAAGTTGATAATATGGCTAAAGCGAACCACATCCAAGCGGTGGCGACATGACTACCCATAATGAAAACACCCAAAAATGGAGGCAATAGATTACTAAATATATGTTCAATAGGATGGCAATACAAAGCAGTAACGGCTATAGGTGCTGTCCACTCATGATGTTGTTTATGAATAAATTTATAGATATATTTATGATGTAACAATCTATGGGAATAATAGAAGCCGAGCTCTTCCATTAATATGCACACTGTCAATTCTACACAGACCCAATGAAATGTCGGTAGTTCTGGTATGGCACTTAAACCGCGTAGCATCATTAGCTTATAGCTTAAATACATTATTGGAATGGCTACAATTGTTTGATTAACTAGTACTTGCTTAATAACCTAATACAATAATGACAGTACAAGTTTGTAAATAAAAAAAAAAAAATGCAAAAATGATACCTTAAAAAGACGAGCTTGATCGACAGGTTCATTGGTACCCGGTTGTATTTTGTATTTACGCAAAAACGTTGGTCGATTCGTGATATCCATGAACGTGTAAATGCCTCCAACTGACCAATATACTAGGGTGGTAAATACATTTGTGCCAAAAACCCAAAACATCATGGGATCGTGACCTACAATTTAAATATTAAAGTGATCATGGCAACTCTGTGATGAGATTAAAGATTGATTATTAAATTTTGTAAGCTCAGGAAGAAAAGAAATTCATTTTTTTTCTATAACGTTCTTGTGCCCCAAAAGAAAACTTTCATTATCACAAACACACCCACACATACATATAACAAGGTTAAGGGGGGGCATTTAGATTTCTTAATAATATTTCAAATGAAAAAGGAAAGAGATAAAAAGACAAATAAAAAATTCGTAAACTTTTAACTCTTCGCATGAGAAATCATGTCCATCTGCAAGAATTTTTTTATATCTTGTACACATGAAGACAAAGTATCGTAAAACAGGAATTTGATATAAAGAAAAAAATGTTGCATGTGTGCTCAGTCTTGTTACATACGTTTTTTTTTTATTAGCATTTATATATATGTATGTATATTGATTCAATGATAAAATCGCGGAGTAAAGGGAGAAAATATGTAAACAAATCATTTATTTGCTTGCAAATTTGTAATACAGCCAAGCGCGGTACTTACAGTGAGTTCCATTAATATTACATTTTTTCGCTCGACGAAAAATAAATGCTTTTCAAACCTAGTCCAATGTTAAAACAAAAATTTTTTTTATTATTTTGTATTAGAAGGGAGTACATATTAAAATATAGAAAAAAACAAACAGAACATTAATCCAGTAGACAAGAAGATTAAGCAAATTCAACAACTTCAAAAACAGCGTCATTAATATTGAAGGAGGATACGAAGGTAAAAGACAGCATATTATTAAAAATTAATATTTTTTAGGTATCCTTTTGGCTTAATAACGTCATTTAAACGATTTGACATGCCTGTTCTCAGGTCTTGGACAGAAGGAATTGAAAGTTTTCGCACTCAAATGTCCAATCCGTCCCACATATTTTTGATGGGGTTCATGCCTGGTGGTTTGTGGAAGTGGGTGAACCACTTTCGAGCATTCATATAAGACCCATTATCGAATTAAGTGGCACTTATACTTGAGGTCATTATCTAAATAGAATTTAAATGTTTCTAAAATACCGCGCTTGTCCGCACTTTCTTTCCCTTCCTTATATTAAAAAAAACCAAATATTAATGACGCTATGATTTTAAAATTGTTAAAGTTATTTAATTTTCTTGTTCATTAGAATAATGTTTGGTGTTTTTTGTTATATTTTAATATTTATTACCTAGTAGAACAAAATAGTAAAAAAAATTTTATATTTGAACAACGGACTAGGTTTAACAAGCGTTTACTTTTTGTGAAGCGAAAAAATTTAATATTAATGAGACTCACTGTATTTATTAAATTTATATAAAAAAAAAAAAAAAAAATTCATTTAAGAAAAATTCATTTTCACCTCGGATAGCTGATAATTGTTTAAAATGTAATACGAGATCTTACTTACCAGTTATATTAATAAATTTATCCCATTGAGCTTGCCAGAAGTCTCCGGAGGCTCCCCAAAAACTTTGTAAATGCCTGGTAGCGGGTAATATAGGTAAATTGATTATTTTATCCATTTTATGCATACAAATATAAATATATACATTATATATATATATATATGTATATATATATATGCATATATATGTAATTTACATATATTTCTATATATGTAATTTAATTCTTTTCAGATATTGCGTTCTTGTTCGTATTATGTATTTTGATCGCTTAACAGCGACTGGACTGCGTCAACACTTATTACTTAAAACATTTACTCAGCTTAAGTATTCATTGAATAGTTTTACTCATACATGTGAACATCAATATTTGTATGAAAGTTTTCACTGCACGTAAACGAATTTGAAAAGTAGAAAATTTTTATTTTTTACATATACAAACATGTATATGTATGTACATAGGAAAGTAACAATAAGCGGCTCTACATTTGATTTAAACGATGACTTTCTAAAAGATCGTCACAAGATGAGCTTTTTAGTGTACTTCACCCATTTCAATACAGTATATTAAACTTGAAGTTGTGTTTGTCGTTTATGGAAAATTAAGGAGCAAAGCTTATACGGGTAGAGTAAGATACTGAACACAATGATTATCTCTTTGCTGATATTAGTTCTAACTTTGACATTTATTGCATTATCGAAGGGAGAAGTTATAGCAATTGTGACCACGCATTGAAAAGGGATGTATAATGTTTTCAATAAGTTTAGAGTATTGACATTCTTAAAAGTGCAAAAATTCGGAGGGCAAGATGAATTAGCAAACTAATTTACATTCTGGAATCAACGTCCAGGTCAGATATTTCAAGTTTATATAGGTATACTAGACTCGAGTTAAGATGATTAAATATCTGCTTGAATCGGCGAATACCTACCATGTGAGCACGTTCCGAAACACAATGAATATGGCCAATGCACATGTTATTATAAAGATGACGCTGTGCAATGAGGATAACCAACGCGGCTTTTGCGGTTCACTGTAGGCTGGACCGAAAGGATCCATTATTGACGCTAGAGAGTTATTATCACCGTCAACATCATTCTCATTATCGTCTGCTGATAAAATTTTATTATCTATTAAATGTTTATTTTCTGATGTTGCATTTGCTTGAGAATAGAATCCTCCCTTATTATTGAATGTAGGGTACGGTGGCGGGAGAGGTGGCGGTAACTGCAGAATACCGATCCCAACTTCCTCTGTAGCCATGTTAACATGATCCGCTAAAAAAGCGTTTGCCACTGCTGCCGGATTTGCTCTAGCTGTAGTAGCAATAGTAGCAGCATTAGTACTAGAAATGGTGTAAGCAGTGGTTGTCGTTGCCAATGCCGCAGTTGTTAAAGTTGATGTTGTTATTGTTGCTGTTATCGTTGATGTTGTTGTTGTTGTTGTTATTGTTGTAAATATAGATGACGACGTTAGTGTTGTATAGGATTTTCCAAATTTTTCCATTTTATAAACTACAAACAGTTTCGTGCGAACTGATCATTTAAACCAAAGTTGAATGTTTGGATCGAAATTGATACTTACTGACCTTGACATTTAATTAATGAAGAGTTTTTTTCCGCTTTTCAACTTTCCCGATTTTGTCTATCTATCGCTGAAAAATAAATTTAACCATTTCTCAAAATAATTTCTCTTTTAAAATTTCGGAAAACTATTTCCTCAAAAATAATTATTCTTTCTGTTCCTTTTTTTTATTATTGATTTTTCAGTTTATGTGTCACTATTACTTTTTCCCTTTGCTATTACTTCCCTTTACTATTAATTGATTTTTTTTTTTTTTTTTTGTAATATTTTAGACAGTGATATTTTCATTTTATTCGATTATTCAACTTTTGTGATGGCTTTATAAGCTCTTATTAATTTTAAAGGCGACGTTATTATTTATTTGGTTAGTTTTTATGCTCAATATTCACGCAAAAGTAATAGTCTATCGGAGAATATCCTTTGTTTGTAAGTTCTCTTTTTGTAAAAGCGGAAAATCAAGCGGAGCGCTTGAAGAAAAAGCTTCGAAAATTAACAAAAAGCTTTAGAAAAACGATTCATTCTATTTGACGATGGAAAAAGAGAATTTCTCAATAAATTTCTAAACGAAATAATAAATTTTTTCCAACTTTAGTTGAAGGCATTATTTTATCTACGATTTTCTTATCTAATGCTATATCTTTTATTTGCTATTTTCAATATACCTTACATACCTTGTGGCATAGGGTACATTAAGTTTGTGCGGAACCATTTTTCGAATCGATCTAACCTTGTCTGTCCGCTTCAGAGTCTTATTTTCTGGTGTTCAATCTACAAATCGCAATTTTTTACATATTTTGATGAAGTTTAGTGCACTAACGTGATTTGATCCAAGGACGAACGCTATTGAAAACTGTTTGGAATAGGTCCACTTTTTCGACCACTCCTCATATGGCGCCTTATTTTGATAAGTCGTTGTAAGAAATAATATTGTCTTATTTAATATTTCGCGACAAAACTCGTTTAGCAATAGTATTTCAATCAATTGTGTAAATTTTGTGAACTCCTTGCCCTTATATAAACGTTCCAAACGTTCAGGTGGGTATGTTTTCTAACTTCCAGTCACCACTTTATGAAAAATAAGGTTTTATATGCCAAAAATGCTTAATTTTTAATACTTTATGATGATAATTTGTCCTTAACAAATTATATATACGAAATTTGGGTCACATAAATCTATTTTTTAGGTCGCAGCATATATAAAGTCCCTCATGAAAGTAAATCCTTCTCTGCCGGCAAAGTCTAATTTGCAGTTTGTTATGAATCAAACAGCTGGAAATAAATAAAATCTTTGGCAAATAAACCAAGTTTGGTAAACTAATGCCACATTGGCGTTAGAGTATCCTTCAATATGACGGCTTCAACGAAAATTGTGGATTTACATACAAATAACGCACAATTTTGATGTGTTATTAATTAAGCAAGATGGTGTAGATTAATTAAAGGTCGGCATTGCCTGACTAAAGCACTCTAACTTGTTTTCGATTTCAAGTGGTATTGGGAGATTTGTCAAAATTTTTTTTTGGTCATAAATCATTCCTTTTAGTTTTTATTTCTTTTTTTTCTTGAGTTCGTATTGCGGCTAGCGAAATATTAAAAGAAAGAACAAGTAAAAGCACAATATAAGGCCATAGCCCACCATTTCACTCAATGCATTTATGCATGTAACGACGTCTCAGAATAAGGTGTTATATGGGCAGTAATTTAAAAAGTGGTCCCATTCGATGCATTTTCAATAGCGTTCGCCGTTGGACCAAAACATGTCAATGTACAAAATTTCTAAAACATATCTCAAAAATTGCGACATGTAGACTGAACACAAGAATACAAGACCGGCAGATTGACAAACAAACTTAGATCAATTGAGAAGGTAATTCTAAATAGATCGACATGATAAAAAAAAGTTAGGCTTATCTCAAGTCGTTCACGATGTTGTATATCTCTGCTCAAACTCATTACAATCTGGTATCACAAGTAATGTAGGATATAATTATTTTAGGAAAAGAGTATCTTTTTCTCCATGATATCTGTACAGTTGGACTAGTTGTTCCAGGACGAGTTACAAAAAAATGTTCTTTTCTTTATTTTTGTCGCAATTCGATTCTTTAAAACTTCTGCGTCTTTGTGGATTAAATTGGACATTACATGCAATAATAACAACAACAATATCGTTTTTTGACCCCCTAAGAAATGTTGTACGAGTGTTGTCTTTTTATTCATTCCTTTTTTGCATCATTTCCACTATTGCACCACTGCGCCCATGAAAAGCAGAGGAAAAAAAAGAATGTTAACAAGAATGAAGCTGTGTGCAACAGCCTCCTTTGAAACGAAAAGACTCTCCCGTAAATTAATATGCCTATATATATACATAACATATATATACTTGATTACAAAATAGAATAGAGTCAGAGATATGTGATATTGTGGCGTCTCGCTAAAATCATGGTTTTATACTTACATATGTACGTGCGGACAGGATCTTGTGAACACAAAGGCGCGTTGTACATTCTAATTTAGTTTTACTACCGAACAGGCTTTCTACGTTTTCTTACTTGAAATTCTTCAGACATAAACTTCAACTCACGATATTACACTAATTACTTTTAATATATCTGGTCATGCAGTTCCTTGATCCAAAGAAATCCACTTTGAAGATCGAACGGATAATTTCTTATAATACACACAGCCCGTTTAGTAATGCACTACCTTCGATGCAAACAATCGGTTATGACCCATTCGCTTTACTAATACGCGTCTTTCACTCTTCGGACTTTGATATGCTTTGGGGAATGCAATTGTCTAAACCTTTCATGACATGGTAGAGAAGAGCCTTTATCACCAATTGGCTTTGGGGTCCTTACTTCTCAAATTGACATTTCAAAGATCACAATTTCTATTGCAATACGACCTTACATGTAAGCTAACCGCCTTTTCTTTACATAACTCAAGTGTTATAAAGTTTAACGAGTACAAGCCCGATATAAAAACCAAGAAAAAAATCTGCATTTTCTTCCTTAACCCTTAAACATTTAAGATTTCTGTTTTCGCAATTGTTTTAATACTTTTGACAAAATAGTTAATAGTCAAGACAATTTTTTATATTTTTAATTCTTTTTAAGAAAAAATTTTCGAACTATATTATATTATCCGAATTATTGTAATTTGGAAAGCATAGAGAAAATTTCTACATCATTTTGTTCTCTTATAACATGTTGAGTAATATACAGGAATATAACAATACCTAGTATCACATTTTTTTAAAGTTCCTTTGGGCTTTTAGATGACGTTCTAAATGGCTACTTAAACGTCATAAATATATATGCGCTGTTTGCAGGAAAATGAAATCCTCTTAGCGCCACAAATACTAATAATATAATAATAATATTCTACATCTTACACCTATAGCACCTTAAAATTGACAAATAGCGCTTCTTAACAATGACAAAACTGGTGGACAATGTTAAATTCGCTATATAGTTAACTATAGCAATGTAAAGAGGTGGTCGTATTGATTTCTGGTATCATTGTTAGCCGTCGTAATTGAATCCACCCTCGCAACCTACGATAGAGATCATTTCATTCTTTTGGTGCTATAGAATTTGTTTAAACTCAATAAGCCTAAATGAACGAATAGTAATTAGCTTAAAAGTATTTAAATAAGAAATTTTTAATTCCTAAACTTTATATCAACTCTTCGAGCACCGATATTTATTTATGTTTTGATACATCTGTTTCGATTTTTCTTTATGTAACATAATTATCGCTGTACTTTTCTTATACTCGCTTCTAATAACACAGAGTTGTTATAATAAAGTCAAGGTGTTTTTTATTGATAATGACATGCTCTTTGCAACTGGTAATGCCTGCAGCTTAATCATACTCCTAGTCGTAGATATTCGTAAAATAGTATTGTTTGTGTATTGACGATGATAATATTTCGCAATATATAATTAATAAATAAGGAAAACCTGGAGAAAATAAGGAAGCAAGTTAAAAATTGTAGACAAAAATAGAAAGCTTTATTTTTGTATATTAATAACATACACAAACCTGTGACAAAAATCTTTGGTGAAAAAGTAAAATTTTTGAGTAATGACAAAACAAAAGGAAGGAAAAAACTAAACACTACATCAAGGCAAATAAACCTAAGCAATTTTAGAAAAAATACGGTGGATAAATCTAAAAATTAAATGATTTAAAAAGAAAATTAATAAAAAAAAGATATATAAGAAAGAAAAGTAACTTGAAATTATGAGACCATTTTATGCATGTTGCCTTTAAGATAATTCAAAACAAATAATTGGTGTCGTTGATAGAATGCAATACGAAGGCTCTCCTTTGCGTCACAAAGAAAAAAAATTACGTGGAATTATTTCTCTTTTTCCTGTCTACACAAGCACACATTGTGAATAGAGTATATATGTGATTTGTAAAATAACGTAAAAAAATACAAAAAAAGTAATTCCTTAGAAATCAAATTTAAAGGTGTGTTCCATGTCATGTACGTACGAGTATTTTGTGATTGTGAACCTGCTCCAAGTTATGACATCAAATTTCTTGAATTTTTTTGTTCAACATCTTTCGTTTTGCACACATAGTTGAGTGTATTTAGTTTGATGTTACACGTGTAAACGTATGTGTGTACACATATAGAATATTGTTTTTGTATAACAACGACTGAGCAGCTGCAGTAGGCAGCGCTCCTAATTGCATAAATATTCCTGTTTGGCTTGGTTAAAAAAATTATTTGTGTTTTTAGTAATTAATAGTAAAATAATGTAAAATAAAGTGCATTTTAGTGTTCGAGTGTGAAACTCATTTTTTTTTTAGTTCACGCTCTTCATCCATCAATTCCTTACGTTATTATATTGAAAGAAAAAAAAAAAGAAGAAGAACTATCTTAATTGTTTGAATCCCATTTAGATCACCTCTGAATTGTTTTGTTTTTATTACAGCCTCAAAAAAGGGAAAAACGATATATATAAACAGAAAAGGACTATGAATTGCATACATGTACTCGCACAAGTTTCAATAACTAAATAAGCAACAAAAACTCGATAATTTTTAAAAATAATCGAATTACTTTTGTATCAGTCTCCATAGAGACCAGAAAAAACAATAAGGAAAAAAAATTAGAAAAATTAGAAAGAAGATTCAGAGATAATTTTTGAGTTTGCTTAAGAATGGATAATTATGTAGATGAGGTTGTTGCGCCTCATAATCCTGCATCAGAATCTCCATTGAAAGATTGGCGTCTTAAATATCAGGCTGGCACATTACAGAAGAAAGATTTCGTGGAGTTCTTTCAAAAGGAGTCACGCAAATATTTTGAATATCAAAATGAGCCAAACGGTACGGGTAAGTAGAAGCAACCAATATAAAATTTACAGTTATATATTAGCAGTAAATGAAATCTTGCATACGTATGTGCTAACCACAATGTTTTTGTTTTGCATTAACGACAACAGAAACCTTGATATCTCACAATTATCTGTTGCTGTTTTTTTTTTGTTCGTAGGCTATTGTATTCCGCCTAGTAGTCATGTTCCTATATGTACATACTACCAGATTGGTTTTATTACCTTAATGTGCGTGCACAGAAAAAGAGTTGTGTGATTAACTTAGTTTTACTAACCGTATTCACCACATTTTCAGGTGTTATTTTTACGTTAATGAACTTGGACTTAAGTTACAACCTTCATCAATTTTTATATAAATTGAAACAAATTGCACTCGTTGGGGATTGCTCGGTAGACTCTGTTTGCTGTAGTGTTTGTAATTGTTTTCTACTATTGGTTACCGATCACATATAACTCCGGCTCCTTACGGCGTCATTGTCAGTTAACTACTATCAAGCAAAACCAAAATATACGCAGACTTCTTGAGGCTTTCTCAAATCTTTCTTCGATGACATCGGAGATTTTTGCATTTTTGATTTAGTTTTTTTCAACTGAACACGAGTGCCCGGTCTGTAATATTCACGGGAGTTTATTTGATTACGATAACTTTATGTGTGTGTCAATCATTTCGGATAGTCTCTATATATTGTCTGCCTAGATTATGGAAAATTTTATGTAGACATTCTCCTTCTAATAGATTTCGCCAGACGTGTTTGCAGATTTCCAGTATTTTAGTGTTTGTAGCAAAAAAATATTTACTGCATACTATTTTGAAAAAGCCTGCTAGCTTCAATGCAGTAATGAAGTCGCATATTATTGTCGTTGTGTAGCTACTGTTCGAGTTGATGAAGGACTTTAAAATTGTTAATACCATAAAAAGTCATGAATTTCCGTAAACAAAATAAACATGTTAACGTGAAAAAAAACTTTGGGAGAGCAACAATTTAACAAAAATATTTCAGGAAATTGCTATTTTAGGATTATGTTCACAGATTGCACATGTTAGGCAAGTAAACTTAATATTACTGGAGAGGAATCTTTGATCATACAATTTCAGGAAGCCTTTCGCTAATTGTACGCATTTCAAATCCAAGGGACCAAACGTAATAGTACTCTATATATATATATGCATATGAGCTAAGCGAACGAAGGCGGATAACGAAAAGAAGGCGCTCACAGTGGAAGCTTTTTAGGAATAGTTAAGTGCAGTCCTTCCAGGTCAAAAATATGTAAGCAATTTGTCATCGATAAAAAACGTGTGTATGAGTGGATTATGTACATTCGAACGTGACACGACAATATTGCAGAGTTCAATGGATTATTTCGATTTTTGAAACTTTGAGGATTTGTATAACTGGGTACGCGAGTGGGGTGAGAAGAAGAGGGAGGCAGACACATTAACAGAGAGGTCGAGATGAGCAAATCAGCACAAAAAATGACGCTGATTAGAATAATACTTATTTGCCTGAGGTTTACTAATTAATGCAGTCTCGTGCTCCTGTGGCGGATATAATAGCAAGAAAATTACACTCGCCTTCATGATAATTGATCGATTTATTTGTCAAATTGTGCGCTCTTTTTTTTCTGATTAATTGTCTACTAGTGAGTCGATTGGAACAATTTTCGCAGATTATACGAAAAACTTCTTGTAAATATTCACTATAGATTCAAGCAATATTGGGCTATTGTATGGCAATAAAATGCGCTTTTTGTCGTTGTACGTACGCTCCAGGCCAAATCAGAAAGCTGTTATACACAGGGACATGGTTGCTCTTCCATCAGCTTGGTATCATCTTGACTATATTTTCGTTCAATTATCCTAGAATACTGGTGCACTATTCCCTGTTACTTCTTATCTTTTATTAGAAAAGCGATTTGAGTGCTGAACTTCTTGTCTTATAAAATGGCCGGTAGCCTTCTTTTCTTTTCTTACAATTTGTATCCTTTACGATTATTGTTCAGTTATGAAAATTTCTCGAGTTGGTAAATATAAATATGAAAACTAGGAGGTAATTGGGTTTTTGGTAAAATATAAAAAAAAAAAAAAAAATTGAATATTGAGCCGTTAATCGAAGTTTCTGAAGGATTTAAATCCTCGGCCTATGTGGCCGAGTAGGCAAAACTCTCGATTAGCAACTCAATGGTTGTGGATTCAAATCTCAAGTAGAGTTTTTAATAAAGCCTTATATGCTAGTGCTTTAAGAATTCAGTCGTAGAATTGATTCTCTGGCTAAATTTATAATAATGATAATACTAACAATAATAACAATAATAATAATAAATCGAAATATAACTAAATTAGACATTTTCACGAAGTTATTTAAATAATGAAATTAGTTTCACGTGAATGCTTGATCAATGATATTATATATAGTATACTATATATTAGTTTGGGGAAAAAGAAATCCATTATTTTTATATGAACTTCAGGACTTTATTTAACATGCTTCGGATTGTCCGATTTGGGTCAAATGTGCATCGTTTTGTTGTATGATTTGTTGCCATTTTAAAGGTAACTTCAAAATGCCTCTCTCATAGAAATCCTGGTCTCTATTTGCAAAAAACTGTAGTAGTCGATTTTCACAATCCTCCCTAGATTTCAATTTTTTATCATTAAAGAAATTTTGCAATGCAAGAAAAAGATGATAATCGCTTGGTGCCAAGTCCGGACTGTATGGCGAAAGCATTAAAATTTCCCAACCAAGCTCCCGAAGTTTCTGGCGAGTCACTGTAGATGTGTGTGGCCTAGCGTTGTCCTGGTGGAACACGACACCTCTCCTGTTGGCCAATTCTGGCCGTTTCTGGTCAGTCGCTATCTTCAAACGGTCCAGTTGTTGACAGTAGAGATCAGAATTTAGCGTTTGGCGATATGGAAGCAACTCATAATAAATAATCCCCTTCCAGTCCCATCAAATGCATAGCAAAACCTTCCTGACCATTTGAGGTGCTTCACCGCTCTTTGACCACGATTGTTTTCGCACAGGGTTATCGTATGTGATCCATTTCTCATCTCCAGTCACCATCCGTTTAAGAAATGGGTCTATCTCATTCAGTTTGGCCAAGGCTTCCCAGATGGAAATTCGATCCATCTTGTTTTTTTCTGTTAATTGGTGTGGCACCCAAACATCGAGCTTCTTTTTGAATCCAGCTTTGTGTAAATGGTTAAAAACTGTTTTATGGTCGATTTTTAGCTCCTGGGCGATGTTACGACTGCTAACATGCCGGTCAACTTCGATCATTTCTCCGATTTTATCGACATTTTCGACGACCGGCCTACCTGTGCGAGGTGCATCTTTAACATCAAAAATTCCTGAACGGAATCTACGAAACCAAAATTGCACACAATTGGCTGTTACAGTATCGGAACCGTAAACACCATTCGCAATTTTAGCCGCCTGGCTTGCATTTTCGCCTATGTCAAAGAAAAACTGTAAAATGTACCGAATTTTCTCTTTGTTCACTTCCATTTTTAAGGCGCTGTAACTCACAACTGAATGCACAAAACAAAAAACAGCAAGCGAATTTTTTTTACTGCGAAATGTACAGTATCGGAAATTGTTTGATCGATACTTTACGAGAAATTTATCAGTGCAGCCATCTACCGAAAAAATAATGGATTTCTTTTTATCCAACCTAATATAATATAATTTACAATACAATATGGTAGATATAATATAGCATAGCAAATGCAGTATAGTATATATATATAGCACTGTATGTGTAGTATTATTGATCAAGGATTCACGTGATATTAATTTCATTTTCTCGCAGTATAGTACAGTACATATAATATATATAGGATAGTATCTAGTTTAGTGTATATTTAGTATTATTGACCAAGGATTCGCGTGATATTAGTTTCAGTTTTTCGCAGCACTTCGTTTAGATGCAGTGATTATGTAAATTTTCACTTTTTCAGTCTCATATTTGACATAGTATAAAAATTTTTTCGATACGAAGTTTTAACTAATTAATATCAACGCATATTTGTTTATATTTTTTAAAAAAATTCTTGAAAATAATATAAGTATATTTTGATTTAAATCTTTCCGAGACTTCGTTTAACAGAACTCTGTCAACGGCTTAACAAAGCCGTTGGAAAGCCGTTTAAGTATTTGGTTAGTTAAATTTAAATATAACTTCAAATCCTTGATACTTCTCCATCATCCGTTTTTATAGGAAATCTTAATAATAACGCTACTACATTAACGGATTAAAAACCAATTACTTATGAATGAAATGGTAATTGCTTGACATAGGCTCCTATACATTTTTAGATTCAGATAAGTCATAAAATGAGCTTACATTCTTTGCGTTGGTCCAAGCTTTAACACTCCATACTCGTATAGCGGTTGATAATCAACCAATTATGTAAATGATCCATTTGAGAATAAGAAATATTTATTCATTTAATGGCATGTGCACCGACGAACTGGGAATAACGAACGTCGTTTGTGCTATTATTAGGCCTCAGGATTTTTTTCTAATCGCAGATCAGAATTATTCCATACTAACTTTTAAAAAATTAAGCCTTTATTAAGGCACTTGGCGGCAATTCTATGTAGTGGTGTGGTCTGAAAGCAACATTAGGTTTTGTTTAGGGTTTTTCATCTTTGGTCAACGTACAGGAAGAGTAGTCTTAATTATATTGATCTTCGTAGGAGTGCCGATTTTTTCAAACGTTTGGCGAGTCATCGCAATTTGGCAGTTGCCTTGATTTATGAAAAAATCCCTGGATGCATGGTATAATTATTCTTAATTGTGCAACGACGGCGCTTATATCTAGACATTCCCACAAATGATTAAACCATTATCACGTGTCAGTTTCCGACTAAATTAGGCTCCAAGACCTGTCTAATCCGTATACGGTCTTCACTATCAAATATGGATGTTTAACCCGACATGTTTATTAAGTTGTTTTGCTCAAGCAAAGTACAAATCTTTTTGGATAAAAAAGGAAATTTACTTTCTGTGTAAAGGATATTGAAGTGGTGGGTGGTTAACAAAGGCTTCTTGTTTATTTTTTTGGAATATTAGTTCATAAGCAAAGTTAAGAGTCTATAGAATATGAAAAATGTCTAGATTCGTTTTCCGACGCATGGAACAGTCCTTTTTTTTTTTTTTGTTGGCGAAAGCAAGGAAACGATATGATAAGCGTTTTGTCAAGTGTAATTCATTAGTGTAGTTTGACGAATTGATGGACTAAGTTGTTGTCAATGTTATTCTCCCATTTTCAAGTTTTCTGCGAGAAATAAATTATGATATAAATCGTAGTTTGGAGAGGGGTCTCGCATCTCTTTGAATATTCTCTGTTCCTATTGAAATAACTCAATATTCTCGCTGGCTCTAAAGCATACTCAGTTGTCCTCTTGAAATCTTATTTCTAGAACTTTTCATTTGTTTGTTGTGAATGAGAAGGAATTGGCGAACTCTCTTTTTTGTCACTTAGCGATTCGTCCAGTGTCTTTCGCTGGAAATGATTTCACAATAAAAGCATTTATCTTTCTTGACAATAAAATAAGGCAAGGCTTAAATTTCATGTAATAAACATTGATCATGCGATCGTCGTTTGGATTTACGTACCCTTTTCGCATACGCTTATATACTAAAGTGTTCAAGAACGTCGCGGAGATGGTGTAGCTTTCAAAACATTACTAGCAGCTTGGTGTCCTAGTGACCCGAAGAATCATACATGCATGAATCGATACAAAAGCTCCCTAATTGAAGCGATAGTCCATTTATCGATATCGAAATTGCGGTAACAAAACTTTACTTAGAAAGGAGGCTTGATTTTCCATTTTTTCTTATTTCTCTCATTTGGTTAATTAGGAAATGTTTTTCTCTCCATTGTTGTCTTAAAATTGAAGAATTTTTAATTCCAATTTTCAATCTTTTTTAAATAAAATTTCTTAGTCAAGGCGGCAGTTCAACTTGTACGGACCCGAACGCATGCTAGCTCAAATATTTTATATCAATAAAGCAAAAAAAAATGTAAATCACGTTTGGTTGATGGCATTTTTTACGGTATGCTGTTAAATTACAGCAAGTTTGTGTATCGATTATGATAGACCCCAGATACGATAGATACAATCTGAGGTATGCAGAGCAAATCGATCTTCGCAACTATTGTATATAGACTAGTGCCCGGTTAAAAAAAAATATATAATTTTTCTTTTCTTATTTCTTCTATTTGATCAAATGAATATAAAGTTTATGATTTTTAGCAGCGGAATGAATGCATTCGCTGAAAGATTATCTAAAAGTTTTAGAGGAACGTTAAACAATGACACCAGAGAGAGAACAGAACACCAGAGAAGAAGGTATTTCTCTTGAATGCAAACGCTCACGCTTTTTAGAAATACAAGATTTAGTTAAATAACATCAACTTAAATTCATGATCACATTTAAAGGGTCTTATGTCATACATCAAACGCGGAAATTAGCTTAATATATATATTGTCTTAGCATCAGGTATTCATTTTATTTACTTTTTTTTTTTTTTTTTCTTGTTTTATTATACATATTTTTTCTTTATTTGCGTTTCTTACTCTATACATTCACTTATTTGTATGTACTAATAATCCCAATTTTATACAAAAAAAAAAAAAAAAAAAAAAAAAAAAAATTCATTTATTTTTCTTTATTTATTTATTTGTTTTTTTGATTTCAGATTCTACTAGAAATAGCTGTAAGTATATCCAAAAACAGAAAAAAAGGCCATCAAGAAAATTACGAATTTGAATTCAGTCTACAGGCAAAGAATATCATTTCTCTGTTATCTTCTCTCTGGCTAACTCTGAAGTTCTATTTAATGTTGGCAGGTGTGCGCCCACCTCATAGGTTTAGATTATCAAATCTTATTACCGATTGTACATCGATTCTTACCGTTTCATCATATGCAGTTGTAGAAAATAGTGGATTATTGACGTCATTTTTGTTTAGAGATTAATTAATGGATGGTATATATACTATACCCGATGTAAATAGAATAAATTTAGGTTTTGGGAACGCGTAATTATAATTTTAAATTGTAGAAAAATTCAGCTTACTTTAGGAGTGAATATTTTGCGTAGAGTCTCATAATCTCTAGATATCCGTCCATCAAGTAAACGTTGACTTTGACTACCGCAAAGTTATACATATTCTTGATGGATGGATCACTCGAAATCAGTTAAACAACGTCTGTCTATTTTCACGCGTTTCTATTTCTGTTGTATGGTATTATGTCATAAAAATTTTTTTATAATTTAAAGCTTCGCATGCGAATAATTTGATAATCACTAATAAATCGTATTGAAACGGTAGACGTTTCTCAATAGGTTATTGCATCGTATATATGCTTATATTGAACTGATCGCAAGAAAGCGTGAAAACTTTTACTAATAGATGATACAATATAACATACATATATTTCCCTGATTTGGTGGCAGTCTTTAAAGATAACTGACTGAACTTATTTAGTTTGTCCGTCAAATATGATGCAATTTAGTTGAGGTTCGAACTTGAAACGGAAGTTTTATTTGAGTAAAATTTAAAAAATTTCCAGGAGAACAATTATTTAGTGAAAGAGTGAAAAATTATTAATTACCCTTTTCGCGTGACTGCGAGCGTCAGAGATATTTTGTTGACTTAATCTGTTGAACTTAACCTGAATAGATCGATAAGAAAGTCATTTGAAACCAGGCTCGCCTTTGTGGATAAAGTTTTTGAGTTCCTAACTTATTGTTATCTTAACAGACGAACAAATAAACAGAAAGACATGCACATGCTGATCAAGAATTTATATACTTTATTGGACTTCCTTCTGCGGTGAGTATAAAAAGCATAAACATATATACTCCGCCTTATCTATACATTGCTATCGAGCAATCAATTGTGAATTGATTCTCCTCGCACCTTATATTGAAATTGAAATAGAGAAAAATTTCGGATCAATTTCCAGATTGTAATTTAAAGAAAAAACAAGATTAAGATAGTAATTGCGATTTAAATAAGCAGGCAGCGAACAGATAAGCATTATGAAATTCATTGCGTTGCATTCATACTGACCAAGAATATATATGTATATTTTAAACAATTTCTGTTGTTTATAGGAAAATTCAAATCATTTGAAAGCATTTGACAAACTTTCACTTTTAAATGCAGTACACGGAGTCAGTGAAGATAAATGCTTGAAATTTATCTTTATATCTTTATATTCTCGAGTTACATCAGAATATTAAACGCGGTTGTAAAGAGCATAACTAAAATGGCTCAAAAAACTTTATGTTTACCAGAAACGTATAAGTGTTTCATGATTTCTCCGCCTACCGTGAACAAAGCAAAATTGTTACTTCGTTTGTAAATTTTAAAAGTATGCCTTAGAAATGCCATGAAAGAAAGATTTTAGTTATTATATGTTCAGCGTGTACCTACCTTCCCGTGGTTGGTATGTTGAAATTCACAAAAATTAAATTAAAAAAAATTTTAAATCTCTCATCGGTGATTTGTGGAATTTTGAATGAGACAGAAAGTTGTATTCACATTGGAGGCGAGTCTCTTTGATACCTGCCGAAACAAATCGATCAATATGCTTAGGTTTTTGGTTTTCTTTTGCTCGGCACATGTTTGCAAAATTTACTTTTTTTTTTTTTTTTTTTTTTTTTTTTTTTTTTTTT